TCAGGCTCCTATATTTATGTTCAGTTATTTCACTTTAATGGCATAGAAAAGGACCTATACATTGCCATTAAAGTGAAATTTCTGAACCTAAACATAGGAGCCTGATAAAAATGCTCATTTTAGAAGAAATTTTCAGATGGCACTTAGATGCTTTTGCATCTGAACTCTTCATATATATATATATATATATATATATATATATATATAACAAAGTGTATAATTGTGTATAATTTATAAAAAAAATTTGAAATGTCAATTAGTCAATATTTTTTAAATATAGGCACATGGCTGAAAGAATGACTTGAAAACTATAGGAAACACCATTTAATGCAGAAGTATATGTGAAAGATTTTTTTTTTTTTCGGTCTGCGAGTAAATTCAACCTTTTTAAGAATCACCTGCTCTTTTGGAGTCAGCTTGTGTTTGACATGCTGATTTTTTCCATGTGGCTTACTTTGTACCTAAAAAAGAAAATAAATAAATAAAGCAACTTAGCCGTTTGTTTTGGTTTATGAAAGTTAAGGCTAAGCTGTCAAATTCCAGTTCCAGGTAGCAATAAGTAGACAGTATAATACCATGCTGAAGTTTCATGATGAAAATGTTCATTTTTTTTAGCATAGAGTTTGCATAGATGTGGCACACATGCACATGCCATTGCACATGATGTTCACTGCTTTATTTGCAAAACAAACTGTATTTACCCAGACAACAATCTTGTTTCAGTTGCACGACTCATACAAACTCATACCAACATGAAATTACATTGCTGTTCATGTAATCCTTCCAACTCAGTTGTTTGCGATTATCTATGGCTAACCACTCTGTTGTAATTTCCTGGAGGAATGCAGATATTTTGTCAGTGGAGTTTTGTCTTTCTATTGCCTGTTAAGTAACTAATGCTGAGAGTCCATTTACATTACATTCTCCTATAGCTGAACTGAAAAACATGCCTCGGTCTTATGATTTAAGTGAGGCATTTTGTCATTTTAAATCTACACAATTATCCTTTCTCCAGCTATGGGACTGTGGGATTGATTTACTGCCCAGCAGAACTCCATTTAAGAGTCAGTCTACTCCCATTCCAATCCCAAGAGTAAGGCAATGGAATAATATATAGCCATGTTTGTGATTAGCTGTGTCAAACCCTCTCTGTTGGCCTGGGTCATATATTACAACAGATTGCATTGCAGCTTACAATGTTCCCGCTGATTTATCTGCACACTTGATAACATTTGATTGACTCTCTAAAAGCTCCTTGTCTCAAATTCCCAGCATGCATATTTCTCATTGCTTGCATTTTGAACTTTATTCCTTGAAATATTTTCTTGGAAACGTCTTGGTGGTTTGGTGACTGATTCCATTTGGTTCTTTGACCTTTAGACATGATGATGTGGATTTTGATTGCAGGATTATAGAAATTTTGCAGAATATTTGGAGATTTTACTTACATATGCGGCCAGTGCTGAGACCAAAAAGCAGAAGAGAAACAGGCCTTTCTTCATTTCTAGAAAAAAAAAATTAAAATAAACAATAATATGTATGGATGTCAGCACAGTCCTGTGTCCTATCTTAAAACTTCCTGAAAAACTAGAAGTGACATGATGTCCCCATTCCCTATTCTTTCTATCTAAAAAATTCTGCTTTACTGCCCTCTGGGCCATTCTCACACAGGGTTCAGAGTTCTCCATCTGTATGCTGGACGTACTCCTGCCATGACACCCCAGCATAAATCAGCTGCCTCAGTTGTCATGGTAACAGGGCCCAGGAGATGTGCCCCACTCAAAAGTCACATTCAAAGTCCAGAGGGGCAAAGCAAACATCAGAAGCTACTAGACTGGAAAAAGAGTTGACTAAGTACACAAGCTTTTTGACCCCTCAGTAATTACTCACAAGTAAATTAATAAATTATTTAACATATTTTAAATCTGATATACTGTACAGTCATACATTTGTGTGAAGCACTAGTGATATTTTACCAGTAGGTCTTTTGGAGTGGGATACATTGATACTGAACTGACACGAAGCAGAGATCATAATTGTGAACTAATTCAATCATGAGCTTGTCAGCATCACTTCTTAATTATTAACATTTTTAAGTGAATTTTCATTTTTATTATTAGTCTATGTTTAAGTTTGAACTTCCATCCTTTGGTAAGAGTAGTAGTCACAATTTTAAAATGTAGCCGACTTATTTGGGGGATATCAAATTCATAAATTAGTTACCACAAATTACCACAAAGAACCCAGTTGTTCACTTTTAAGATGTTACTGTTGTGATTAGTAATTAATTGGTTATTCTTTATTAACTGGTCATAGTTCACAAGTAGTTCTCAATGAGGATATTTTTATTTAATAATTATCAAATATCTAATAAGGAACTACCTTTGTCCTAAATTTGCTACTACTTACTGCTTAGTTAATCTTGCTTCTCTATTAGTTAATAGTATTAAGTTAAGTGTTAATGTAGTACTACCTATTACTTCCTGCATAGTTACTTGTTAACAACGGACCATTATTCTAAAGTGTTACCTACTTGTGTTTTTTGTTTTAAACATGCACAATACATTTTCAAGAATGACTTAAATTACACTGTGCACATTTTAATTGGTGACTATTTATGTAAAATACTTTCAGAAAACAAACTTAGAATAAAAGGATTAAACTTGTGCTAGAAGAATCTCCAGCATTTAAAAACTGCAAATACATGAAAATGTACATTGTTATTGATGACACCAACACGATATGCATAATTTTTTTGCATTACCTTATTATTAATTCAGAAGTGATCATTTAATTAATTCAATTAACTAGAAATTGCAATTTGAGACTTACCTGAGTTGTGATAAATTACGAGTCACAGAGAGTCACAGAGAGTCACCGAGAGGCAGTCAGTCGAAGTACCTCTCACTCTCTTATGCCTCCCCCTCAGCACTGTACATCAGATGCCCTTCATCTGCACTGGGCCATTCAAAGAGACACAACTAACTGAAGCTTCGGTGGGGGGTGGGGAGAAACACAGAGGGATGGAGAGTCACTCAAAAACACAGTTACAATTTGAACTCACTTAAACATTAAAAATGTATTTAATGTTTCCAGTCTATTAACAATTTTGGATTCAAATTATTTAACATTTTATTTGAACAAACTAGTTATGTTTTCAAGAAACGTTTAAGACATCTATTTTATGTGGAAAACCCTCCTGATGCTTGGTATATTTTCAGATCTTGAAGCTATGAGCAGCCCGGGGACAGGGAATTTTGACATTCAAAGCTAAAAGCAGATATTAAAAGCCACCTGTAGATGGCGCTCAGTGTTTTTCCAGACCTTGAATCGTTGCCAGCTGGCTGTCATCAGAGTATTTTAATAACTGTGCACCTATTTTGGTTACAGAGTATCAGTTCATTCAGGTTTATTTAAATAAAAAAATATATTTTAAGACATTTAAATGAGTGTGTGCTTTTCAACCACACTGTACCCTAGAAAACAGTTTGGCTAGTTTTACAATAACGTCAACCATATCTATTCTACAATAATATAATAATTATGATAAAAATAATAATTATCTCCGTTTCTTTAAGATTCCCTTTCTCACATCTTTCTCACATCTACCCTTTCCACATCCACCTTTTCTCAGGAAATCTAATTATAACTGCAAGCAAATTCCACTCAAATTGCGAGAGCTGAATATTCATTAGTGAACCATTATGCATTGTTTTATATTTCCTCTGCACGTGGCGCTATCCGTAAATATCTCGGTGCTGCTATATGTGGGTTTTTCGGTACACTGCAATGAATATGATTGCCAGGAATGTTTGTAAAATGGAAATATTCCACTCTTCACCAACACG